CGCCGAACATTGTACAGGTAACAGTGAAGGCACAGATGAAAAACCTTTTGTTATCACGTGAAGTGACACAAAAGAGAATGAATGCTAAAGAGAGAAGAGCGGAACATCTGTCGCATCCTTGCTTGTGCACTTACACTGCGGGTGGTTGGCAGGTGCTTTGGTGTGGTTTGCCCCTTCTTTCCTATCAAACTTGAATTCCTTATCTCTCCTCCTCCTCCTCCTTTTGTTTGTATATTATGCCTCTATCTTCGGCACTTTTCTAACATTTGTGTTACAAGGGCGGTAAAACTGTTACTAAAAGCACGCATTTTCCCAATTGGTTTTGACTCGTCTTTCAACACCATGTGATATTTTGGCAGGCAGGACCTTTCACTTTTTGTGTGTGTGTGTAAGTGTTTTACGGCGCTCGCAACTGCATGAGGTCAAATGAGCGCGCGGTACACACTTAATATTTGCAGTTGGTATTTTGCCCTGGTGGCTGCCGAAGCCTACTCATATCGATTTTGGATCACTGAGAGATCTTTAACGTGCGCAACTTGCACAAGGGACCTCCGAGATTTTTCGCCCTTGTCCGAGAAGGCTAGGTGTAGATATTTCCTATTAGAAGATCATAGGAGTGTCAGGAAGACAGCAGTCAGAAGGAGCAAAGGAGTAGGAGTAGAAAGGCTGCTGAAAGAGTCAGGAGCCCAGAGGAGGTGGCAAAGGAGGTGAGGGGGTGGCGGCTGAAAGAGGAGACGAAAGCAGACGACAGAACATTGCTAGAGAACAGGAAAGGAGGAGAAAGGAGACAATTTTAGAGAAGAACATTTTTTCTGTCGCTACCAGGATTCGAACTCGAGACATTTGAATGAGAGGCAAACACATTAACCTCTAGGCCACGAGAGTTTAACGCCAACTGAGCTAACTGTACGCCTTAACCAAAGGTCAAAGGACATAAACTGTACCGGCATCTAGGCTGTGGCACACAGGAGTCCAGAGTTCGAAACGCAAGTTAGGAGAAAATTCTTATCAAGTATCTCGGTTTCTCTGCAGAGATGCTTTTTTCCCCCAGCCCTGGTTGGCCTGGCCAGATATGATCGGAAGCCGGATTCCTAAATAATCTAAATTATTTCGATTGAGCTATGAAAAACACCTTCATTTTCAACAAGATTAACATAAACTGTAGAACAGTATAACACATGTCACTACAGTAAATAGTTGTCCGTTGTGTAAAAACACTGTGCGTCTTACTACCACTTTATTATTAATCTGGAGTCTTGCCTCCTAAATACAATATCTTAAGTTTGAAAGGCCATTGTTGAAAGCAAATTTAAATTCCACCATAAGCCTCGTGAACTGTAGTCGAGTCGGGGGAAAGGGGGGGGGGGGCGCAAGGTGTGGTGGTTCACTCACTCGCCTTGCAATCCAGAAACCAGGGGTAGTGGTTCACTCACTCGCCTTGTAATCCAGAAACCAGGGGTTCTTTATGTTTGGTGTAGATTTTTGTTATTTAATGTAGATTTTTTTTTGCTCAATGTAGAATTTTTGTTTGTTTGTTTGTTTAATATAGATGTTTTAATGCACCAGTTGATCTTGAGGCGGACTTCGACCCTGCCTGTCAGCGTTAGGGTACACCAAGGCTGAGTTTGTTTGTTTGAATAAAGAGAAGCACATTGACGCAATAACGATCATTTAGTGCTAGGACAAAAAAGCAAGACAGACAGACAGAAACAACAGAAGGAAAGTAAAAAAGAAAAAGAAGTACGACCTACCAGTGGCGTCCTCCGACCATCCGCTACCTTGGCTGAGACGGATTCAAAGTACCATCAGGAAGACTGAAATACTAGATAAAAATTCAGCTCAAATGGGAATCGAACTCAAGTCTTTCCCCTGGCATGACTAAACTTCTAACTGCAACATCACAGACACCAGTACCAGGGGTTCGAGCTCCAAGAAAACCCTACAATTTTCTCTGAGGAGTTTGTAGGATGAGAAATTGAGGGCTGTCTGGTGAACAGGCTCACAGTCAAAGCAGGTCTTCAGCAGAGAATTGTTATAACTTGTCTAGCATCTGCGTTTGTCGCGGCCGCGATTTTGGCATTTTTTGGTCCGCGAATCGCGGCCCTGATTTTGTGCATTTTTCAAAAACAAAGCAAAAACACCGCCGGAGAGTACAAAATCGACCCCCCCCCCCAACCCCCTTCCCCCAAACTGCGAATTAATAGGCCTATCGGAAAAAAAGAAGAAACCGAACCTTTGTACTTTAAGAAAGAAAGTTTACCTTCCGCTTCACTTCTTCTCTTTCTCACTTATTGACACCACATTGATTTGTTATTTTCATATGAAGAATATAACTACATTACGCACCATCTATATTGCTCTTTCTCTTTTATTTGTCCCTCTTTCTTGCGTTTTAATTTGTAGGTGTGTTAATTTTTTTGTTCTTGTTTTTGTTCTGATATGTTGTTTTTTCCTGGATTTTTCTGTGTTTTTATAGCGTAATGTCATTTAATTTGACATGTTCTTACTACCTTTTTTAAAAAAATAGATCTACATAGATGTCATGTTTATCCTGTACTTTTTCTTGAATTACGAACATTTAGGATTCAAATCTTCGGATTGGTGGACACATACCCTTATAATTTGTTAATTTATAGTGGTTGTGTTTGTGCTGATCTAATTTTGATTTCATTCTGTTGTGAAATCTTTATTTTTCATGTCTTTACACTTTGTGTAGCTACAATTAATGATATTCTGGATGCTTTAAAACAGAACACAAGAAATTCTGGTGCTTTTGATTAAGTTGCTTTATCAACATATTATTGCTATACGTCGTCACAGAGGGTTGGAAGCTTGAAAATTAATAGCAACTTTCATGGTAACTTTTGCCATTTTTGTGGCAAATTTTGGCAACTTTAGGACAATCAAATGGCAACAAACGCAGATGCTACACTTGTATACATATACTTACATGTAGTTCAAAACCTCTTTCAACACTGTTAGGTTATTTAAGAAGCTGGACCTCCGAATTCAACTGTCATCTCCGATTGGACAGAGCCAAAAGGGAATATCCGTATATATATATATATAAAGTACCATTCTAAAGGTCACAGTGTCGGACCGAGCTGAGTCTTGAACCCTGAACTTGCAATCTCACAATTATGACCCTGATAGTGTGGCATACACTAGAATCCCGAAACCATTAAGGTAAGTGTCACCTTTCAAATAATTTACCACACAGAGGCCAGTGTTCGAAGAAAACAACCCAGAGACAAAGCAAAATAATTGTTACCGTTTGTATTCATCTTCGAAGTGGTAGGTACGGTAATGTAAAAAGAAAGCAAGCAGTTTCATCAAAGGCGGTTTGTGTTTTATTTCATAAAGAATCTTTGTAGTACACGCCCTTGTCATAAAGAACATTTTACAGCGCACACCTCCATCGAGGAACGAATATATAATATTATCTAACTGGGGCCCTTTCGATGAAAGGAAAGATCGGTGCATTACCATCAACTGAAAGTCATTGGTCTACAATACTTACATTCTAATGGAATGGAGCAATAAATCTTGAGAGATGCAAAAAATTAGAAGTTCTAGATCTAGATCTATACTCTCATAACAAAAAGTGCATTCCGGGACCTCCGCTGTGAAGGACAGCTACACAGATTTGTTTTGTTTCTCACTGAAATTATCAAAAAGGCCAAAGAAGGACGGGAACTTTTTGTGAAATATATTTTTCTAATTTCAGCAAATGAAAAATAATAAAAATAAGGGACCTATCTATCTTTTTGCTGCAGGTACTTGCCGACTTTCAACTCTGTAGCTGTCGTAGTTTTATGGGAAAAGTGATACATGTGTTTCCAAGTTGCCAAATTTATAATAGATTTTTAAAAACTTATTTTATAGTATACTCACTTCTCATGAAGATCATTTCAAAGTGGTAAAGCATGTCATAGAACAATACTGTTACACTCCTGCCGTTCAGCACACGCAAATACTGTCGCACATTTTTTTCCGAAAGGAGCCAAAGCGGAATAGCCTATCCAAGATCCTACACTACAAGTTCTTGTATGGTTCACTCCTCTCTTTGAGCCTATTAAAAAGGCGACCTCATAATCCCTGGAAATAAGTGCGTACTTTACAAAGAGCCCAATGCGGATGTATAGTGAAGATATCAGGGTGACATCGGTACTGCACTCGCACTGCAGTTACATGGTCTTTTTAAAAAGGTAAGTCTTAGTATGGATGTAGCAACATGTGGAGCTCCTATAGGGTTTTTAAAGTCTTTTATAGGCTCGTTACAGCTCGATTTATGGGTGCCCCCTGCTCACCGCTCTTCGTTGACCGTTGAACAGCAGTTGATCTGCTTGCGCAAGGGGGTGCTATTTCTATTCTTCTTCTCGAAAGAGAGCTTCAAAATAGCGACTGAAGCGCCACCTGAGAATATATGTGAGGCATCGTGGTGAAATCAGGCGCTCGTCAAAATAGTGAAATCTAAGAAAAAGGCATTTTTCCACCAGTTTTGCAATTTTTATCCAATATTTTTTTTTACCCAAGCACCTTTTATTTCATATAATATGGGAACACATTTCCATGTTGAATTTGACTGAGAAGCCTTTTTTAAACCCACAAAGTATGTAATTTTCAGTTTTCAAGGACTCTTAATTAAGCTATTGAAGTGACCAAACTTTGGCAGCCATTTTCTCATTACTTTCACCACTGAAACCAGGCTACCTCACCTTCTTCAATTGCAAATATCTCGACTTCTATTCATGCTAGATGGATTTATTTTTAAATGTTAAAAGCAAGGCAAATAAATAAGCTTTCAGGTGATACCAATAACTCTACATGCTTAAAAATTGACGAGCGCCTGATTCCACCATGTCGTGACACATATGCGTTCGGCTGTGGACACGTTTTTGGCTGAGTGAACAATCTTGTGGTTTAAGATCTTTGGGCGTTTACAGAACAATATTATGTATCACAGTGGTGAGTATTGAAACGCGTGGTATGTACATTTGGGTATTTATTATCAAAATTTGCACATGCGTTGAATAATACCTTGAGCTGATAATCCGACTTTGACCCTAACGATTACTATAATCCCAACCCTGCACTCCAACACCAACTCTACCCCTATCAATATAAAAATACTATTGTTCTTCCAGTGTCGGGGGTCAAAATTGAAGTTTGCCCGTCTTTTCACCCCAGAATTTATTTTCTATCGAACTTGAAAACTATAGTTTATATACTGGTATACTGTCGTCGAGCACAGAGATAAAACTTAACTGAACAACAAAGACAAAGATGCTGAACTGGGAAAGCAAACTTATTCTTCCGTTCTAGGGATTAATTGATGGGATGGCCTTTTCTGTTTGACAGACGATCACAAAGCAGTAGATCTGTACGTGATAATATAACTTTGCCTGAACGGTAAACATAGATGAAGGATATTGCCCAAGTACAGCTTCCTTCCCTTCTGATCTTGACCTCCTTGATCTGATCCAAAGCAGTGACATCGTAAGTACATTTGGAATCATAGACGGTGTAAGGGTGTGTCTCACTATTCCTTTCTCTCCTCTGCTAGATCTCATGAGTATTTTGCTACTGGTTCTTCAACCTGTAGTGCTACCAGTGTTACTGTCGCGAAAACGGATAGCCCAAATAAGGTATGGGGGGAGGGAAAGGTAGCTTATTTCGACTATAGCTAGCTCAAATAAGCACTTCGCCCCAAAAAAATTGCAATTTGCTTTAAATTTGAAGCAGCGTGAGCAACACCGGAGGGATCTCTGGAAGTAGGGTCATCCACGGTCAGCAGTCATGTTGATATAGCAGAGATCACTTAGCAGGGATTCCCCAGCAGGGGTCACCAAGCAGAGGTCACCTAGCAGGGCCATCTAGCAGGGGTCACCCACAGGCGGCCGTCATGTTGATGTAACAGGGCACAGTGAAGGAGTCAGGACTAGCCATAGACTGGACGGAGGAGAAGGTGGACATCAGGCCCACGACACTGCCCACGATCAGAATCTCCAGTAGAAGCACTTTCTGGTGGAGGGGGACAACTCTGTGAAAGGTAGGGGGGAGGGCGGTTTACTTTTGATCCAGGTTTTACAACATTTCAACTCATATTATATTAACGGCTAAAGATTAGTTTTAATAAGAGTTTAACAGCATTTGCGACACTTTAGGCCATAATATTATGAGCCAAAGATAAGAGTTATACCAGAGTTACAAACATAAAAATATAATATAAAAATTAAGGACGGCCGTAACCGTGAATAGGAGCAAAAGAAGAAAATCACACCAGATCACTCAGCAACCACCCTTACAGTTGTTGATAGAACAATCTGCGTGAGAATACAACAGCGCATACTCGTTTAACGTTAGGGGGTATCAAGATTCAACTTAGATCAAATTATAGAAGTTCATACCACAAACAAGACATGCCATGTTATATCATTAACGTAGGAGTGTGTGTGTGTGTGTGTGTGTGTGTGTGTGTGTGTGTG